AACCCCCGGGGGGGGGGGGGAAGGGCACACAGCCAGACACTGAGCAGGGGGAGAAGGAAGGGGGCTGAGCAGCCAGACATGGTGCAGTGGGGGCAGGGGGTATGTGTACCCCCAGTTGACAACCCCTGAATTGTGTGATAAAGGCAGGCTACACTAATTAACATTAAATGCTTTATTAATGTTTGGGCCTGGTATGCTCCTGCATAATAGGAAACAATATTACAACTCTTAATGAAGTGTTTGTATTAGCATGTTCTGCATAACAAAGTTATTACGACTGTCCTTTAATATTTATAACTTAAGATCTTTAACATCAAAATAATACATATTTTAAAACTAAAAAAAAAATCTTAAAAAAAAAGTCAATGAGAAATATCCAAAAATACACCAAAAGTAATTTCAGATCTTGCTATTTCAGTAGGATACTTGAGTGGGTCTTTCACAGCTCCTCGATCCTTGGAGCAACATCAGAAAGACAAACTTTATCTCATCCTTCACGTCCAATCGCGCTCTGTTTTGTTTTAATAGCAGCCAGTGCAGAAAACCCAGACTCACATAAATACGTAGTTGCAAACAGCCGCAGGACTTTCATTGTTTTCCTAGTAAGCTCTAAATATTCAGTTTCAGTTTCCAACCAAAAACTTGAGATGTTTCGTCCACAACTCTGATGCTTCTGGCATAAAAAGCTTTCTTTGCTCAGTTCAATCAGTTTGTCATCACCGTGAACATTCAGACTGTGCAGCACTTCCTTGTTGGTAGCACTTGAAAACAGATCCCTGATCCAGTCCCAGTCAATTTGTAGTGACTTTTCCATTTCACCAAAATACCTGTTAAACTGAGCAACAAGCCCTATTAGATGGCTACAAATTACCCCTGAAAATGTCAGTGACATCTGATGCTCCATCATTTAAGTCCATTAGGCAAGCAACCATTGTTTTTATTCCCATTTTCACTCATTCATATCCTCTCGTGTTGTTCGTGTTGGCAGTTCAAGACAACAACAAAAAAAAAGGTCTTCAACCAACTTCCTTTCCCAAACACAGCAAACAAATACTAACAGTTGAGTCTGATTTCCTATATCTGTAGATTCATCAACCTGAAGAACATATGTAGGGACTGTTTTCAACCTCTCAAGCAGTTGCATCTCCACATCCTCTGCCACTTCACTAATTTTTTGAGAAACAGTATTGTCTGAAACAAGTATCTTTAACTTTATCCACATGCTCTTGCCAAACAGTACTTTACAAATGTCTACTACAGCAGGTATAATCAAAAGATTCTCCAATCATATGTGCTTTCCTGCATTTTGCAATTTTGAGCGGTATCAGATCTGAGGCCTCCAGAGCACTTACGCTGACTTAAATGCTATGAGTAGACACCTCCTTCTGATATTTGAAATTTTCAAGCCACCTTTCAGAGTATTCAATCAGTTTTATAACCAAGCTGGCATGCTTTGTTTCCAAGCGTCTTTTTAATAAAGACTGCTTCATACACTCATTGGAGAGTTCCTCCAAACAAATGACACTTTGGTTTGGATTTATCTTTCGGATCCACATATATAAAACTGGACTACAAATAGGTACTGCTGTACCTTACAAACTTTCTGTCACCTCGCACTTTCTATAGTACACCCTTCTGTGTTTTTTTCCTGTTTTTCTTTTGCACTTGAGGAATTTATCTATGTTCAATTGAGCTTCCTCAGTGCTCTGCCACTCCACACATGCTGAAACTGCCCCTTGGGGCTACAGTGGAAAACATCTGGGGGGGGGGTGTGAAGGAGCTGAGTATGTGCACGCTTGTGGGGAATGGGGTAGCGGTAGGAGTGAATGGGGTCCCAGGGCGAGGGCAGGTCCCGAGATGTTTGGAGCCCAGGGAGCTCATCTAGGGGCGACGGGGGCTCCTGCCACTGCATGAACCCCACCAGAAGCCTGGGAGGTCACGTGCCCCCCCAGATCTGTGTGTGATGTAGAAGTAGCTGCTGCTGCAGGCTGGACTCTGCATCCTGCTGCCACTGCCCCAAGAGCCACGTTTTGCCACATGCCTGTTGCTGTTTCATAGATTAAGGGTCGGAAGGGACCTAGTAGATCTTCTAGCCCGACCCCCCGCCAGGGCGGGAGAACAACAAAAAACCCCAAAAAGAGACGGGACTCAAATGAGTCCAGCCAGGTAGGCATCCAGCCTCTTCTTAAAGACCCCCAAGGCAGGGGCCAGCACCACTTCCCTTGGAAGTTGGTTCCAGCTCCTAGCCGCCCTAACTGTGAAGTAGTTCTTGCGGATGTCCAATCTATACCTCCTCTCCATCAACTTGTGCCCATTGCTTCTTGTTATGCCAGCGGGCGCTAGGGGAAACAGCGTCTCCCCCAAACCCTTCTGGTCCCCCCTAGTGAGTCTATAGACTGTCACCAGGTCCCCCCTCAGCCTTCTCTTATGGAGGCTGAACAGGTTCAGGTCCTGCAGTCTC